ATTTATTTATATTTATTTATTTTTTTTAAACTCAACCCTAAACCCAAGCCCTTAAGCCGAGCCTTCCCTGAACCTGTGCAGGTCCCTTTCGCGATCCCGGGGATCGAGCTGGTCGGCGGTTTCAAGCATGGCGACTCGGAGCCCCCTTCTCTCCTATCCCTGAGAGGAAGGAGAAAGAGGCCGAGGAGCCGGTGGTGGAGACGATCCGCAGCCCCACGGCTGGTGCTGAGAGCACCGAAAAGGCCGATGTAGAGGAAATGATTGTAGAGGAGGAGACAAGGAGAAGAGGAAGCTCCTGGAGAAAAAGCTGAGATTGCGAAGAAAGACTTGGCTGCTAAGAAGGCCGAGAAGGCCCAGAAGCGATAGAGGAGTGAAGACTTGGTGAGTCACCCTCGCAGATCATGACGGACCAGGAGCCCTGTGAGAAGGGCTTGTGGTGCAAGTTGTACAATGAAGCCTCCTGCAAGAACTGGATCGGGAACCGGTGGGCGTACAAGCAGCACCTCCAAACAAAACCGGCTTCCCAAAGATGAGGCCTGTCGGCTGGCCTGGCTTCAGGAGAGGCTCGGAAGTATGGCTCGGCCGCCTCGTGTCTGGCTTCGGCTCCTTTTCCTTTTTGTTTTTGTCACACCGTTGCTTTTTTATGTTGTTTTTGTGTTTCATAGTACACGATACGGGTTTGTTCGACTGCTCAGCTGTTCTTTCAAGTCCGGCCGGAATCGAAGTTGGGCACTCGGACACGACACTTGTACCGGCAAGCAAGAAGATTGGGATAGGTTATTTGTAGTTTGCTTTTCTCGTTGTCGTTTTAGCGAAGTTGCGAGACGAACACAAACACTGGTTATATTATCTTACACCAAAACAAACACCAAAAGGCTGATACACGAGATCTATGGCTAATAAATGATGGTCCGTATAAAAAAGTTTATATTTTCTTTTTTGGGGAAAAATTAACATATCGTCTCGTTTGTAAATTGAAATAAGTAAAAAAGGTTTGATATATTAGTATACCGATTTTTTTTAGTAACCATTTTCTTATAGAATCATAAAAAATATTCGTCGATATTTCTTTTTTTGGAGGTATCGTCTCCGAATTATTGTTGTTATTAATATATTCTTTGTGTACGATTCTGTATATATAAAGATTTGGAAGGAAATGAGGGGATACGAGTAATTATGATTTCGTTTTTAGAGTTAGAACTAATATATTAATATATGATTTCTGATTCTTTCTCGTAACGATCGTATGAGGTTTAAAATCTAAAGTATTTTTTTCGATATTATAATATTATTATAGTTTTTATATTTTTTGAAGTAATTTTTCTTTTCTAATTAATGGTGTATTATTTTATATTTTCTATTGGGTAAATTAACCGTGAAAAATGAAGAATTTATTGTTTTTCTAATTATATAAGGAAACAAAACAAAATTACAAGAATTAGGTGATATAAATAATTAGATAAGATTTCTAAATATTACGGGCAAAATTCTATTTTTCTCTAGGCATACGTTGATTTATTTTAAAACGTTATATCGGATATCTTTTGAGTAATTAATTTACGATTATAATAAAATTGATATGATATATAATAAATATTTATGGTGTCGTATATAGAAGGCAATGTTAAATTTTATTTTCTCGATGATACGAGTTCTTTGGCGGCTCTTTATATGGTGGTATTAGATAAATTAATTGTTTTTGTTGTTTTTATAAAACACAATACTACGGATTTTATTTTAGATATTCTCTGATTTTTAGTGATATATTTGATTCGAAGCTATGATAATTTACTAAAACCACATTGATATTAGCAAAATATGGATCTTTTTTTTTTGATATTAATTGATTTTTAGATATGTGATCGATTCGAATCTGTAACCAATTTTAAAATATGTTCTATTTTTATTTCTTTTTTTTCGATTATATATGACAAAAAATATGTGGGTAGTAAAAGAACATTTTTTTCTCTATATCTGTTTTGAGATGTTTATAGCATTTTATTCTAAACCCTAGAATTTTAACTCTAAACCCAAGTCTTTACGCCGAGCTTTCCCGATTCCCGGGATCGAGTTGGTCGGCGGTTTCAAGCATGACGACTCGGATCTTCGTCTCTTTTATATCTGAGAGGAAGGGGAAAGAGGCCGAGGAGCCGAAGGCGAAAACGATCCTCACGGCTGGTGTCGAGAACACCGAAAAGGCCGATATAGAGAAACGATTCTAGAGGAGGGGAATGAGGGAAGGAGGAGTTCTCGGAGAGGCTGCGGAGAAAGACCTGGCTGTTGAGAAGGCCCAGGAGCGAGAGAGGAGTACAAATTTGGCGAGTTATCCTCATAGAACATGATGGATCAGGAACTCTGGGAAGCGCTTGTGGTATAGTCAGGCTTCCTACAAGAATTGGATCGGGTAGTAATGGGCGTACAAATAGCACCTCCAAACGAAACCGGCTTCCCAAAGATGAAGCTTGTCGGCTGGCTAGGCTTCAGGGCTCGGCCCCCTCGCTTTTTCTTTTTCCTTTTGTCATACCGTTGTCCGGCCGGAATCGAAGCTGGGTATTACTAGTGCAGACTAGAGCAGAAACTTTGGAAAAGTGTGGAACTACAGAAACCGCACACATGGAAATATCCTGTGGGCACCGGTGGAAGCCAATGAGACTGCACGATAAAAACAAGACGAAGCAGAACAGAAAAATCACCAAAGAAGTGGGAGACCAGATGCAAGCCGAAAAACCATTTCTATTATTGTTACTGTTACTATTACTATTACCAGTACAATTACCATTACTTTTGGCGGTCCAGCCGACTTTCCAGCAAATCGTCCGCTGAGTCTGCTCGGTCCGCTGGGCCTGCTGGGGCTGCTTGGGGCGGTCGGGCTGACTCCAAGTTCAACTGCACTCCAAGTGCAGCCAAAGGTGCCGAAACACCGTGCTTCCTGAGGAAATCAGCGCTCACCTTAATCATCCCAACAAGAAGTGTTCGCAAGCAGCAACCCAACACTAAAAAACACCTACAAACATGTCGGTTATTGAGTCTCACGTGGTAAAAGACATTGAAGCACATGGTTTAATACCCAGACAACGGTATGACAAAAGGAAAAAGAAAAGCGCCGAAAATAGACACGAGGGGGCCGAGCCCTGA